AATCCTTCCCAAAATCTCTATACATGTCATGAGTGTTTTAAATGTGATCGTATATATAATAAAAAACATAACAGACGTTCACAGAATGACTTTGTCATTCGAACCTCACCAAGTCGACAAATGAAGAGTATATGTGAAAAATTCAACGTCCCCTCTCACCCCTTCCTAAACTTCACTCTTCAAATGCATACCCTGTTAACAGTTGAGTTTGTATATGTTCAAACTGTAGACAATATTACACACATGGATGAGGACAGCAGGAAGTTACACACCACATACTTGAACACATACACATTCAGGGGAAGACGAGACAGAGAAAGAGCTGAAGATGTTGACCTTCAAGGTCGAAATAACCTAGCCATTCCCTCAGGGACATGGACAGACACTGGAAGCTAAAAGAGACAACAATGGACCCTCCCTTAAAGGGTGTGGCCTTGTTGTCGCCTTGGCTTCAGTGCAGGAAGACTGATTTTGGACATCTGGGGCCCACAACTATAAGGACATACATGTCAGTGCTTTGTGACAATGGCAATAGGGAGCTGATACAGGATCGAATGGATTTCCTCAGGTGGGAGACACAATGAATGTGCAGGTGCCGAAAGTTGGTTCATCCACGAGGTAATTGCTGGCCTGCTTCACCAAGAAGAAGGCCCTGGAACCTAGGAATGGACAGATTGACTCCGGGGTCTCCCTGTGACTGAAGAATGCAAAGAGAACTGGAAGGGGAAGTTGAGGGCTCACCTAGACAAACGCAGAGGACAGTGCTGCCACCCCCTAGGCTTTTTAAGGGAGAACTCCAGCGGGGAGGTTGGGTTAGAGGTCACTGATTTGAGGGACTTAATGAATGAGCTCTTAAGTAAAGCTGCACTGACAATCTTTTAAAAAAAATATTTTACATAAATTAACCCACTTATTACAAGCCAGAGGGGTTTCAGGTAGTGGAGCTTCTCCTGGTCTTTCCGTTCCTTCAGTCTCTTGATGTGAGCGCAGAGGTGGTGTTGCCGGTCCAGGCCCCACCAGCCCCTGTTCTCCTGCGGGAACCACAGTGCCAGATGCCCACTAGGCATCTCTTCATGTTGGTTTTGCTGCAGAAAGTGTGAGTGTACTTGACATGTTGGCTGATTTCAATTTTCGTCACCATTTTCCTGAGGGAGACACCATAATGGGTGTGTTTGGCCATCTCGCCGCAAACTAGTTCCAAGCCAGAGAGCACACTGGCACTTTTTTATGTCTTAGCCTGGGTAGTATGTATAGAATAATTGGGTGCTTTTTTTGGAGAATATCATTTTTGAATTAATCATTTTCTTGGGAGTTCTTGCAGATATGATAACAATCCATAATTCAGTTAGATCAAGCATAATTTTACAATGGCTACACCATCGGTTTCTAAGCATTTTCTTTCTTCTTGAACTCTGATATCAGCTTCCCTTTATTCCCTCCCCCCCACCCTCCCCCAGGAACCCATATTATTATGTTATCTATTATTATTATATTTGCCATATGTTACACCATTCAATGCATCCTTTCACCTGCAATTCTGTTATTCATTCCCCTTAAGTAGGGTTAGACAATCACCATTGCTATGGATTCCCCCTCCCCCCATTCTCTTCCCATACCCTCAGGGGATCATGACTTCTGTTACTGTTTGCCAAGGGTTCTCTATCTTGGCTTTCATGCATCAAACACTCTAAATTATACAAATGAGCATACACCGGTCTAACAAGATTCATGGGGCAAAACTAAGACCATAATAATAAGGGGAGTAAATATTAAAGAACTAGAGAATAGTTATGTGTTTCATCAGTGCTATACCACACCCTGGATTTATAATCCCTTCCTTGTGGCCCTTCTGTGAGTGACTGTCCAATTATCTTACAAGTAGGTTTTGGGTCTCCACTTTGTCCATGTTCTGAGTCAATTTGATTGCTTGTTTTTGAACTTCTGATACCTATCCCTGTCGACACCTCATGATCACACAGGCTGGTGTGCTGCTTCCATGTGGACTTTGTTGCTTCCCTGCTAGATGGCCGCCCGTTTAACTTCAAGCTTTTAAGACGCCAGATGAGTCTTAAAGGCTTGAGGAGAATACAGTTTTTGAATGTTAGATTTTGCAGTATATATTTAAGGGGCTAAAAAAATTTTGGAAATGAATTTTCCCAAACGCCCTCATATTTTAAAGCACAGGTACTCTTTGATTTACAACATATCCAAATTACAGTATCTTTCTTTTGATCCATGTTACCACTAGTAATGTGTACTACATATCATAATGCAGTGCATCCTTTGCTGACATTGCCAACTCTCAAAGGCAAATGATGCACAGATTTAGAAATATATTCGTAATAAAAGACAATCATCATGAACATCAAAAGCGAACAAACCAAATCCCAGGTAGTTACCCCAGTTCTGCTGTGTCAGACGTAACACATGACAGAGTTGTCGGAATGGGACCTTGAAATTTGGGGACTGCAGATATTCCTTAATTTTTGAAGGCTCTCATGGTGCCACTTTGCTTTTCCAAAAGACTTATCTGGAGCATATTTACAACTTGCAAAAAGTGAACATGGAAGCTAGAGTTCAGTGTTTGTTAACGAGCTCCCCTCAGCAGTTCTCATGCCATGTTCTTTCCTTGTCCCCCTGGGAGCCCAGAAATCCCCAAGGGAGCATTTGAGAGAGCGATTCTGAGTGACCTCTCAGATGTTTGTAAGGAAAAGGGTGGACATGCCATTTCCCTACATGATGGTGAGCAATGAACTGCAAACACTTTGAGCCAAACATTGTTGTATTTTTTTAATAAACCACTCTCTAGTGCTGAGCCCTGGTGGCATCGTGGTTATGCGTTGAGCTGCTAACTGCAAGGTCAGCAGTTTGAAACCACCAGGGAGGTGGGGTTTTTGGCTCCCATAAAGACTTACAGTCTCAGAAACCCACAGGGGCAGTTCTAAAGGGTCACTGTGAGTTGGAATCAACTCGATGTTGAACTTATCTACTACTGAACAACATGTTATATACATGAAAATGCATAAAAAATAAAAATGAAACAAGATGGAAAAACGAGTCAAACTATATAAGTGAGAATGAACAATGTTATTGAGACTCCAATTCAGGGTAATTTTCTCCCTGTTGCTGGGCCTGCAGGTGCCCTGAGAAAGACCACTCAATCAAACCCACAGCGACCCGATAGAACAGGACGGGACTGCCCTTTAGGGTGTCTCAGGCTGTCATTCTTTACAGAAGCAGACTCAGGTCTAGGTTCACATTCAACCTGCTCCCTCGCTGATGAACGTGGGGCCCATTCCAGTGACAGGGAGTGGACTGCGAGGGGGGGATTGCATTTTGATGTGGCTACTAGTTTGAACTTGTGTACCACCTTGGACACATCCTTCAATGTCCCTGAGCCTCATGTGGTTAGCCAGGTTGCTGAGAACCCGGCTTTCCCAGGGGCCAGTAAGGATTACATCGTGAGCAACTCTTATGAAACCTCTGAAGGGGCGGGAGGGGGGCGTGTTGTACAGTCTGACCCAGGGACAAGTCCTAGGGCCCATTGGTTCATGTCCCTGAAGAGAGTGGGCAGGCAAGTGGAACTCTGGTCACTGCAGGTCAAGTGGCAAGGAATCCCTGATGACTGTCCCAAACTATCGCTCAGCACAATGTGATTGTCGAGATCTGCACGGTTCCACCTGGCATCTCCCCAATGCCCTCCCTGTGTGGCTGACACAGAGCAGGAGCTCTGCCAAACTGGACGATCTTGCAGGAGCGCTCAGACCATCAGATCTTCAGTCTGTAGGGCAACTACTCTCTCCTCTTGCACTTCTGTACAGGACCCAATGGACACAGCAGAACCTAAGGGGTGGGGTGACAATGAGAGACCTTGTCTCCTAGAGGCTGGGCCTGCAGCTCACTGGGAAGAAATGCCGATCAAGCCCACAATGACCAGATAGAACAGGGCTGTCCTACCTCTTAGGGTGACCAAGGCTGTAATTCTTTAGGGAAATAGACAGCCACATCTTCTTGAAAAGCAGCTGGCGGGTCCAAACTGTGACCTCCCATTTAGTAACCATGTGGCTAACCCACTGCAGGGATATAGAAAGGACTGGCCAAAGCAGGGCACTTGGTCACCCTCCTTGGGTTTGGTCACTGACCTCTAGTAGCCTCGGGTGCAGGAGAGATTTGCTTTAGGTCTGGCCATGCAGACCCAAGCCTCCTGCCCAAATGGCCCAGGAGGCTACCCTGGAAATTGTGTGTGTGTGTGTGTGTGTGTGTGTGTATACACGTCTAGAGCCCTTACCCAGGGCGGGGTGGGGGTGGGTCCACAGCATCCCACCTGAGCCAGGTGCCCCCTCACCTGGCACAGCGACAGGAGCATATGTGAACTACCAGGAAGCAGGGGAGGGCATAAGCAGAAACTTCAGAATCCTGCAAGCTCCGCCATGCCCACAGCCCAGAGCACATTCGGAAGAGCCCTCTGGGGCCCAAGTCCCTCCGGGGGAGGGACATGTGACTTCACATGCGGTCTAGGACGCCCACAGCGGCTGCAGCAACAGCCAAGCCCACGTGACCCGCATGCGCCAATGGTCCAGCGGTCTCCCAGGCGACGCGGGGGGCCTAAGCTCCTCAGTTGCTGCCAAGCCGCCTCTGTGCCTCCTGCCTGGAGTCTGCACTGCAGAGGAGACAGTGAGCGGGCGCGCGCAGGCCACGTGCCATGCTGCAGGCTGGCCAGACGGGAGAGGCGCAGGGTGGACGGAGACACTGAAGTGCGGGAGCCCAGGCAGACCCAGACCCACAGCGCAGCTCCATCGAGAAGGCAGCGGCCCAAAGGAGAAGGTAGGGAGGGGGAGGTGTAGGGGCACTCCGGCTTGGGTGCAGGGGTGCATGGGGATGGAGGATGGGACGGTACTGACCTGCTGTGGCGCGGAGCCAGGCCCCTGGGTGCCACAGAGATGAAGCGCCCCCCCCCCCTCCCCGCGCGCGCTGCTCACCCTAGGCAGATCTCCGGAGCCATGCCAGTGGCCCTGCTGCAAGATTGGTGCCGTGGGGAGCATCTGGCCCTCCAGCGGGCCATGCTGGTCCTGGGGATCCCCGAGGACTGTGGCCAGGAGGAGCTGCAAGAGACGCTGCAGGCAGCACTCAGGCCCCTGGGCAAGTACCGCGTCGTCGGCCGTATGTTTCGCAGGGAAGAGAATGCGCAGGCGTTCCTCCTGGAGCTGGAGCGAGACATCAACTATGTGCTGGCCCCCAGGGAGATCCCGGCCAGGGGGGGTGCCTGGGAAGTGATCGTCAAGCCCCGCAACACAGACAGTGAATTTTTCAGCCGGCTGAAGTGCTTCCTGGAAGAGGAGAGGCGCTCGGTGGCCGACATGAACCGGGTGCTGGGATCCCACCCCACGTGCCCGGCCACAGGCCTTCCCGTCTCCTCTGCCTTCTGGGCCTGGGCCCAGACCCTGGGGGCTGTGGTCCAGCCTTTGCTGGAGCAGATGCTGTACCGGGAGCTCCGAGTGTTCTCTGGGCACATGATGTCCATGCCCGGGGCACTGGCCTTTGAAGTCTGGCTGGAGCACACCACCCACGTGCTCCAGATGTGGCAGGTGCCTGAGGAGGAGAAGAGGCAAAGGCTGATGGAGTGCCTGCGGGGCCCCGCCCTGCAGGTGGTCAGCAGTCTGCGAGCCAACAACCCAGCTGTCTCCGTGGCTGAGTGCCTGCAGGCGCTGCAGCGGGTGTTCGGGCCCTTGGAGAGCCGCAGAGTCACCCAGGTGAAGTTTCACAAGGCCCGCCAGGAGCTCGGTGAGAAGGTGTCCAGCTTTGTGGTTCGTTTGGAGCCCCTGCTTCAAAAAGCTGTGGAGAAAAATGCCGTATCCAGAAAGAATGTCAACCAGGCCCGCCTGAATCAGGTCCTGGATGGCGCCACTCTCCCAGACAAGCTCCGAGAGCGCCTGAGGCTGATGAAGCAGCGCAGGAGGGCTCCTGGGTTTTTGGCCCTGGTCCAGCTCCTGCGGGAGGAGGAGGAATGGGAGGCTGCCATGGGGCATGAGAGACATGAGGAGCTGGTCCGCCTTAGGGACATCTCGCAGGGGAGGCCCACCCCAATTTCCCAACACCACGGAGGTAGAGGGGGAGGCCGACGCCAGCGGCGGCGCCGGGGTGGGCCAGTGTGTGCTGACTCTCTAGGCCCAGAGGAGCAGAGACGGCACACATTCTGCTACGGCTGTGGGGAAGACGGCCACCTCAGGGCCCAGTGTACCAATCCCCAGAACCTTGCCCTGGTCAAGCAGAAGAGAGAGGCCACCTTGGAGTTGGGAAACGGGTACTGGGCTTGGGACCAGGGCCATCCCAAGCCCAAACCCAAGTAGGCTCTGGAGATTGCAGTGATCCTCCCCACCACAGGCTGAGGAGACAAAGGAGACACCGAAAAGAGGGGGAAAGGGAGCCCAGGCAGAAAACACAGGGTGACAGCAGGGCTGGGGGCCAGGTCCCTGGCCCAGTGTCAATTGGAAGAGACTTCCTTGAGCAGACCAGAGTCAGGGCACAGCAAAGGAGGAGGGGCCAGGGTGCAGCTGAGGGCTCAGGACTAAGACTGGGCCCTTTCTCAAGGCCATCCTTTAATGCCCACCCCAAGGAAACTGAGGTGCAGGGGACCAGTGGCCCCCAGCCCACGGAAGAGCAGGAGAAGTCTTCCTCGGGGCCACCCCATTCTGGGGTGGGGCCACCAGGAGCCAGGGCCAGGGAGGGCGATCAGTGCAGCCTGGAGGGAAGCCCCCAGAGGGGGGGTCCCAGAGTCAAGCCTGTCTTCAGGATGATCTGCACTGCCCTGGGGGAGTCCCAGGAGGGTAGTGCGCAGGACGCCCTGCACCCTGATGGCAACCGACACCTGGCCAGCAGCCAGGGAAGACAAAGCAAGGAGCACAACTATTGCAGAGGCCAGAGCCAGGCTTTGCCACACCTGAGCTCTGGTGGTCCCCAGGCTGGTGACCCTGAGTTGGCTTCTGGCCCTGGGAGCTCTGGGCAGGAGATGGAGGGAGAAGTTGGCCTTTGTTTCCTTGTTTCTGTCTGTGCAGGGCTACTGGAGGTGGGAGCGAAAGGTGAGAACCTGTGACTTGCCTGTCCAACCCACCATCCTTCCTACCTAACCCTCACCTGAGGTCACTGTCTGAGGCTGGGCAGCTGGTGGAAGAAGGTAGTCATCTCCAGGAGGGAAGCACTAGGGTCTCCCAAGTGGGGGGACTCCTTTCATCATCCCTTGGCTGCCCATGATTCTTTTTATTTTTTTTCATGGTCTTTCTTTTTCTTTAACATTTTATTAGGGGCTCATACAACTGTTATCGCAATCCATACACACATCAATTGTGTAAAGCGCATTTGTATATCATTCTCAAAACATTTTATCTCTACTTAAACCCCCAACATTAGGTCCCCATTTTTCCCCTCCCT